AGCAAGTCTTTCTTGACCTGCTGCCACTCCCATGCTTTCGGACTCCACTCTCATCAGTCCCAGCTAGACAAATTCATGAGAAATAAGGCTCTCAGGGTTGTTGTTGTTGTTGTTGTTGTTGTTGTTGTTGTTGTTGTTGTTGTTGTTGTTGTTGTTGTTTTTGTTGTTGTTGTTGTTGTTGTTGTTTGTGTTGTTCTGCTGCTGCTGCTGCTGCTATTGTTGTTGTTGTTGTTGTTGTTGTTGTTGTTGTTGTTGTTTTGGGTCATCCTGGCTAGCCATTGCTTCCAGGATCAGAGGCAGTAGCTGGGAAGCATGAAGGTGCTGTTGCATACGACTTCATCTACTTCGTATGACATCTTGCGTATTGCTTTATTTTCTTTGGATGGTCCTACACCCAACCCATTGTTTCAATGGTTCTGAAACACTGGTACTGGTAAAGACACCAGTACGTGAACCACTTGTAAAACACAGTAGTAGTTTAGGTGGGATCAGGAGCAGCAGGTGCCCATCAAGACTGGTAAACATGGTTGCTACTAGAAGGAAAGCCAAAGTCAACAGCTGCAGGGTAAACAGATTCTGGTTTTGTCCCTTTCCTTCCCTCTTGCAGTGACACAGCAGGAGAACTCTTTAATATATAACTCTTAATTGAGCAGAAGAATAGTCTCTTATGTGGGTTCAGAACCAGAGTCAGGGCATGACAGGGTAATGGCAACCTTCAGATCTTGTGTAGAGTGTCCAGGTAGATTAAAATTATTTGAAACAGGTTTCTGTGTATTGCCATTCCTGATGTCCAATTTGTGTCCATCAATTCTTTTACCCAGAGATTGTCCCATTTGTCAAATGTATTCTATTTGAAAGTCTCCTCTGTTCATAGTGGTGCTCGGTCCATGTCTGGTTTAAAGATGATGATGCATCCAATGAGAGAGCAAAGACTTCAAAGTCATGCTTAAGCTCTTAGCACATGGATCACAGCAGGCACATGCAATGAATGGCTAAGGAGTTCAGGAGGAACAGCTGGGGGGGCTGCCAATGCCCTCCCATTCTTGTAATGGATTCAAATTACAAGAAAGGAGGTTTTGACTAAATATTAGAAAGAACTTCCTGACAGTCATAGCTTTGCAGCAGTGTAGTGGATTATTTTGCTCACTGGATGATTTTAAACAAAAGTTGGGTGCCTAATAGATAGGAGTGATTTAGCCAAGGATTTCCCACAGTTGCGAAGGGTTGTAGAAAAAACAGAGATCCTTAAGATCCCTTCCAGCTCTACAGTTGTGATTCCACACTTAAAGCAACAGCCCCACTCTGCCTAATGACACTCTGCTGATGTGTGGCCTTCCAATATCCAGATGCTGTTGGAGTGCAACTCACATCAACCCTTGACAACAAAATCAGTTGTTCGAGATGATAGCAGTCACATGACAACGACACTGGACATACCTTGTCCATGGCTTATCCTGTGCCTTATAAACCCAAGACTTGATTTGTACTTGGCAAGTCTAAATCAGATCAAAATATACGATACTGCTAGCTCATGATTAGAAGCAGATCTTCCTTAAGAGGGAAAAGGTACAGTTTAATGTGATGTGAGCTTTCCTCTGCTTTTCACATCTCAGATGAATTTGCTTTTGTTTTCTGATTGGCTATCAAGAGATAATACAAAAGACTGAGAGTCCCCTGGACTGCAAGGAGAACAAACCTATCCATTCCAAAGGAAATCAACCCTGAGTGCTCACTGGAAGGACAGATCTTGAAGCTGAGGCTCCAATACTTTGGCCATCTCATAAGAAGAGAAGACTCCCTGGAAAAGGCCCTGATGTTCAGAAAATGTGAAGGCAAGAGGAAAAGGGGACGACAGAGGACGAGATGGTTGGACAATGTCACCAAAGCGACCAACATGAATTTGACCCAACTCCGGTGGGCAGTGGAAGACAGGAGACCTGGTATGCTCTGGCCCATGGGGTCACGAAGAATCGGACATGACTAAACAACAACAACATCAAGAGATAAACATGGGCTTCATTTGAAAGCCTGATTACTTGGGCTGCAAGTGAGAGATCCTAGGAAAGAAAGCAGTGCATGCTTCTCTGTCTGCTTGGTGAAGGAATGGAGATATTTATTTTTCCACAAATCATTTATCAGAATCAAAGCAGGCACCACGTTAGACCCCAGTATCCAAATCTCTGCCAGAACCTTGGCATGGGAAATAATCATAACGTTGAAAGAAAGGTGTCTCTAAACACGTACAGAATGGCTTAGTGCACTGAGTCATCACAATCTGCTATGTGGGTGGAAAGGGTGCCCAAGTCGTACAGTGCAGGTCTCAGCTCATCTTGAACCCTGGCACCTCTCTTCTTAGAAAAATAGCCACGATGGGAGCAGGTTTTCTTATTCTCTTCCTCTCCATCCTCCTTGTGGTGTGGTGGCTTTGACTCTCCACCCCATATATTTAGAACGGAAGAATGAAGGACACTTCCTGTTGCCGCAGCTGAAAACTAGCATGCAACAGGAGACTGCTGTGGATTCCCATTGCTCTCCCAGTTGTTAGTTGGCTTTACAGATAAACAGAACTGCAACCCAAATCCAGGTAAGCAATCTTTGATCCTTCTCTTGCAAAGGATTTTTTTTCTTCCTTACTGCAACCTTTCTCTTGATATATTTTTTTGCTAGATGTTTGGCAGTATCTTTTGTCTTTTTCTCCATGAATCCATCATCCAAACAGAATCACACACCCTTATCCTCAGATCCACTTATATACAGATGTATTGTGTACTGATTTAGAAATAGCCATATTTACATTCTGAGCCATGTGAACTTTGGGTATGAAAGATTTTTTTTTTCCAGATCCAGAGCTGGCTGTAATCATGGGGCTGCTGGGAGTCTTTCTTGTACAATCACACATCTTGTTCGCATTGTGTCTATATTTAACCCTTGTGTGTTCTCTTGCTATTTCTCTCATCGTTTTCCATACGATGAAGAAGAGAGAAAAAATGGAGTAGCTACACAACATCTTTTGATTGATATCTCTAGGGGCTGTCCATTTGGGACTATTTTCAGCCGTCTTTCCTTATCAGCTTTATGCTTCGCCATCTCCTGGAGGTGGACCGTAAATCTTCCTCACATTTGTATGATGAGTCCATTGGTTTCCCAAATTCCAACAGGTTCATGATCATTGGGTATGTCTATTTATTCCCAAAAGTATAAAAAGGAAGGTAACCGAAAGAAGCAAACAGATATCCTCCATGTAGCAATGAAAAAGTGGGATGGCAGGCAGCAGAAGGAGAGTTTTAGAAGACATAAGCTAGTAGAAACAAAAATTGGTCCAGAGTATATTTTCAAAATCTGTCCAGCAAGCAGGATTGAAATTCACTCTATTTTATTGGCTACTACATCCAGTTGGTGCAACACTGCCTTTTTGAGACACTTCCATGAAATTATGGAATTGCCTCCTTAAAGAGATAAGACTAACAATTCTTGGTCTGCAGGCAATGCAGACATTTGTGTGCAACTTGGCTTTGGGTGATTTTTAACGGGACATTTTAATATTGATTTGGTAGGGGAAGGAAGCTGCCCTCCCCCGGCCGCGCAGGCGCAAGGGCCCGGGAATGCTAACCACGTCCTTATGCTCTGGAGCTGTAAATGTATTGTGGTCTCCGTGGGGTGGGGGAGGGGAGAAACGGAGAGGGGGAGAGGAAGAGGCCTTCTTTGGGGTGAGGTCGGGGGACTCAGAAACCGGAGGAAACAAAGATCACACGCCCTTGAAGGAAGCGGGTTAAAACTGTATGGCCAGAATCCTATATGATTTTACAGCAGCTGAAGTGGAAATGTATGAACTGTGGCAGCAAATTCCCACTAATAAATGAGTTGCTAGGACACAATAGGTATGTGGCTAGAAAGGCAAGCAGCAATTTGTTAATTAGTGGCAATTTGCTCTTGCCATTCATGCATTTACACTAGCATAAACCCCCTAAATCCCCCATAGGATTTTCATTCACAAATAAAAACTGCAAAATAAAAACACAAAAATCAGCCCAAAATTACAGAAATAATTAAAAACGCAGCTAAATTAAAGCAGCAGCAACAAAAGGGGGATTGATAGAATCAGCACTGATTAGACATG